CCCCTATATCTTCTGGGTCCAAAAAAGGAAAAACTTCAGAAAACTGGACTTCTAATAGAGGAACACATTGCTTGGTTGGAAACGGGGGTGAGATACATCAATGTCAGCATCTATGAATTACAGTAGTGCGTCGCAAGACGAGCACCCCGTTTAACGACGAAATCGCATCACAACGAACTTTTTGCAATCGCAAAAGCGATCGCTTTACGATGGTTTCAATGGGGGAATTTCCAAGGTTGGGAACCACTGATTTAGACCATAGTTCACATTTCAACTATATTTATTTTGGAGGTGTAATGCTGGATAGTAGATACAAAGGATCTAACATCTTGGCTAGACAAATACTATGAATTAATGTGTGCATAAGAAAAATTGTATAAGTGGTTTTCACTGTTTCCTGGCTGTTTATCACACGCCCCATTTCCCTGAAAATAAGGCCTAACCTGAAAATAAGCCCTAGTATGATTTTTCAGGATGCTCATAATATAAGCCCTACCCCAAAAATAAGCCCCAGATCAGTGAAACCCCACCCTCCACCATTGTGCAGCAACCAGAAGATGACATGACTGTATTTGAATAAATGCAGATGGTTGTACATGAAAAAAAAAATAAAACATCCCCTGAAAATAAGCCCTAATGCATTTTTGGAGAAAAAATTAATATAAGACCCTGTCTTATTTTTGGGGAAACACAGTACCTGGACATGTAACTGAATTAATATATTACCTGTGTATGTCCAAGTGCATGACAGGCAGGTGGAATGTTCGTAAATATCAATTATGTAATTTTGGGTTTATGCTGCACAAAACCAGTAAGAGTCTTTATAAACTGAAACTGGATACCAGTCAAATGTAATTGGACCAACATGAGAGGCATCCAACAAGATATTTGCATACTTGTTCTCTCCAGTACTCAAAAATAAAGACTACTCTATTCTCACATAGTCTGTTACTGAACAGAAAGTACATCTCTGAACACAAAACAATAATTAACAATTGCTAAGAATTTTTAATCGTGCATATATATTTCTTTATTGCTAAGGGAAGGGTCAGTGGCTGATTTTTTAAAAAAGCAACCCTTAATTATCCTCAAAGGCTTTATAACTCTGGATTGCATCTAGAAAAGATCACTTCTTATAAATTAAAAAAAGCAGAAGCAGCTACAGTATTGTTGAAAGTACTGGAAAGAAAGAACATTCCAAAAACAGAACAGAATATAAACAGAATAGACTAATGGACAATTGTTTCAATGAGATAAGAAATCCTTACATTATTGTACAGATAATGTGGTGTGGAATATCAGCTTTTCATTTAATTTATGTAAGCAGTTACTGGAAACACAATCACTTTGCATATAATATGAACACAATAATAACATTGGCTGGCAACAAGTCGTATGGGAACTTTTAAAAAAAGTTCAGCAATAATCTGTATACTTTAGAAATGTGTTCAGTTTCAATCTGATACGACAAATCTGCTATATGTAACATGTTTATGCAGATGTGCTACCCCTCACCTTCAGAGAGCCAAAGACATAGTAACAATGTCTAAAACATAAGGACAAGAGTTTTGATGTTACCAAAGTGTCTTGGAGTGGAACAGAGAAAAGTAGCAGGTATTCAAGTACATACTGTATTTTCTTCTACAAACACTGAATCCTGATCTCATTAAAGGAATTCTAGAAAACTTCAGATTCGGCTGTTGGTACTCTTGCTGGAATCAGTTTCAGTTTTTAATCGGGAATGAGAACTGGAATGGTTGCTCACAGGGAGATGTGTAACTGGCATAGAAAAGTAAGCAATTCAAAAGTAATCTGACAGAAAAGAAACATACCTACTGTATGTCTAAATCCCCTGACCACCCTCTGAAACTGCAAACAGTCCTTATAAGAAAAGACAAACCCCTTTAACAATCTGATACCACAGGGGAGATTTTATACAATAAAACATTGTATAAAAGTATGCCCCTTTTATCTCCTTGAAAAACTATTAAATGATCATAATATTCAATCAGTTTTTTTTTAAATTTGGAAAGATTAACATTTGGTGTTCCATGCCAGTGTTATCTAGCCCTGAGTTCCTGAAGCAAGTAAAAGTTACTTTTTTCTAAAATAAAAACAATGCAAAGCAAAAACAATTGCATTGTTTTTATTTTAGAAAAAAAGTAACTTTTACTTGCTTCAGAAACTCAGGGCTAGATTACACTGGCATGGAACACCAAATGCAGAAACCAGTCACTTTACCTGTTCCAGCAATGTATTTAACCTTTTTATGTGTGTATCTGCAAATCTGCTAACCGTGGAATGCTTATACAGGAGAAATCCAATTAGGACTAGAGTATCAGTTAGGGTAAATCCACTGAATACATGGGACATAGGTAAATGCAAGCAATATGTCTACATTTGATTCAATCCAAAGTCATTTCCCCCCATCCCCCCTCCCTCCCCCCCCTTGTTTAAATATAAAAGCTGCCAACTATTTGTTATTTTGTCATACTCAACAATCTGCTGGATGGCTCAGTGGTTTGGGTATCTGCCTGCAGAGCTAGAGATTGGGAGTTCAGTTCCCCACTGTGCCCCTAGGGGCTGGACTCAGCGATCCATATGGTCCCTTCCAGTTCTGCAGTTCTAAGGTTATACCTTCTGGAAGGGAGCAGGGTAGTGTTTTTCTCTCATCACATAGCAGCAGCTCAGTGCAAAACTTTTTTAAAAAAATAACAAAGCATGGCAATTGCTGAAAAGGGGGAAAATCCACTATTACTCAGGGATGTGGCTGGAAAACCTATACCTTTCAAACCTCCTTTGTTTGTAATGCATATAGGCTCATGTTCATCGTCATGATTTAAAAAGTAACATCTGAATATGTAATGCGAGTATTTCCAGTGTCGAGTAAGTTATAAATCTCTGGTTCTAGGATACTGGCTCATCAGTGGAATTCAGGTTAAATGCAACTTAGCATTTTATTGCAACTAATCAATTTATTGTTTACAGTTGTGCCCCGATGGACGATTACCCCGCTCTACGACGAATCCGCTTTACATTGACGTTTTTGTGATCGCTTTTGCGATCGCAAAACAATGTTTTAAATGGGCTTTTTTCGCTGTGCGATGATCTGTTCCCTGCTTCGGGAACCAATTTTCGCTTTACGACGATCAGCAAACAGCTGATCATTGGGTTTCAAAATGGCCGCTGGCTGAAGAAAATGGCCCCCCACTGTTTTCTAGGACGGATTCCTTGCTTTACAGGGACCGAAAATGGCCGCCGTATGGAGGATCTTCGCTGGACAAGCAGATATTCAGCCCATTGGAACACAATGAACAGTTTTCAATGCACTTCAATGGATTTTTAAAATTTCATTTGATGATGTTTCACTCTACAGCAATTTTTCTGGAACGAATTAACATTGTCAAGCGAGGCACCTCTGTATTTTAAAGTTGAACTATGTATTCACAGTCATTTTTATATATTGGTGAAGAAGAAGAATGGTGACCATAAAACTGTCTTGTGTGCTTGTTTCCATCTGTGAACTGTTATAATGGTGTTATATCGTCTGTCCTTTTGGATATGGCATTTGCCTCTTAAAACAACAGCACCTGTCAAAGGGCTACCTATAGAAAATCGTTGAGATATGAAGGGAGGAAAAAATAACTTAAGTGGTACCTTCTGTGCATTGAATTATGAAAATAACCTATTTATATGTACAATAAAGTTTTCCATTAAAATTGCTTAAATAACAAACCTAACAATTTATGTGTTTCTGTCACTTTGAAATATTTCCAGCAATCATGTAAATTTGTCAGAAGAACTGACTTGGGCAATGTACAGCATGACTACATGCAGCCCTCTTAAATGAGGTAACATTTAGCCAAGTTTGGACACCACTGAAACTTACAGTCATAAACCGAAATTTACAGCATTATGCTAAGAAAACACTAATGCTTTTATAACATTGGGGCTGTTTTGATAATCTCTCTATTAAGTTTAATGATGCATTAAAGACCACTTAGCATGTGTGTTCTATGTGTAAAATCTTGGGTTTGATGCTCAGGTGCCAAGCCAGGGATTTGCCCTTGGCTCAAAAGCTTGGAGAACCACTGCTGCTCAAGAGCATTCCTGAGCTTTTATACAGTGCTTGCCAACCTGTCACTTTCTGGAAGTGTGGGGACTACAATTCCCATCATCTCAGCTACCATGAATAACTGATTCTTGTTGACAGTGATGGGAATTGTGGTCCAACACATTTAGAAGGTACCATGCTGTGAAGCTGATAATAGCAAATATTGGCATTTGGGATCCTACTCTCTCCTTTGATCAGTTGTTTAGGCAATATGAACAGAACAGTGCTTTGCAAGGTTACTGTTATTCTGGTATTTCTGCATACCCATCAGTAATAGCATAGCTGCATCGTGGATCCTGGTGCACTGGGAAGGGTTAGGAGATGATTTAATCCTGCAAAGGCTTCCTTGCTCAGAAGGGCATTAATCTTAATTCTTAAAAAAAGCTCGCTTTTGAAAGATGTCCTTTAGCCTCTTTTGTGAAATAAAATTTGAAAATACCCATTTTCATGACATTATGGCTTGATGATAATGGGATTTTCTCACCAAAATCTTCACATATTAGTCAGGCATCCTTCAGTCTTGAAAGACTATGGTAACGTGCTCTGTATGGAGGACTTGTAACAGCGTCTAGTGTGGCTGAGGAGGCCGATTTGAGAGTGACAATCCCTTCCACACTGAAGACAAATCCAATCTGTCCCCTGTCCAGCTCCTGAAGAAAATTGTAGGCATTGGGGCATAACAGGAACATCAGCTCAGCTAACAACATATATCACTAAGCAGTGCGCATTTCATATTCTTAAAGGGCACAAAGCTGACTTCAAGTAAGAAAAGGCTTGAGTTTTGTGTCTCTGTGTGTGTGTGTTTGAAAAGGCATTACATCTTTAAAGGGTTCATCAAGTCATTTTCATAGTTCACAATATAAAACAGTGACACAGACAACTGACATTAGGGCATAACACAACATATGACATTCTTTATTTTAACAAATGTTAAATGTTATTCTGGCATGGATGTTTTTCTGTAATACTTTTAGAACGTCCAAATCTAACTTCTTTTTTGTAAACTATATTCATCAACAAATTTTTATCACAGCTTCAAATACCAATAAAGATCAAGTAAGATCTTATACACTCACAACTGTTCATATTTTTGCAAAATGAATGTGCTATTCTTGGTTTATAATATTTTGATGCCAGCAAAATGTAAATCTGTGGTTTACAGACCACAAGCCACTACTCTTGCATTGCCTTTGTTCAGGCATAACAGTCGATTCGAATAAACAACCTTAGTTCACCAGAGCAAGAATGTGACTACAGCCTGTTTCTTCCCCATACGCTGTACTGCGAAAGCTATAATCTCTGGCTACAAATCCAGGAAAACAGTTTGCACTAAATCATGATGGTTGTCTGAACCAGGCCTTAGTGTTTATTAAATGCAGAGAATAGCACTCTGTGTGAATGAATCCATTTTTCCTGTAGATACGCAAGCATTGTGGTTAACTTACAATATGCAAACTAGGTATTTTCCTAAAACTATTTTCCTAGTGTTGATAATGACTGGTGATTTACTGATGTTTTATAAAACATTTTTCTGTCAAAGAGCAGCGACAAAGGAAAAAAAAAATCTATCATTGTCAGATATAACATAAAATAAAATCACAAAATACAAAATTTACTGTAGTAGAAGTAATCCATCTTTAAAATGTTTCACAACAGTACTGTAGTAAGGCACCTGCACTTTACAGATGTTTGAAAAATATCTCCCAAAATATATATTTTAAATCTGTGTAAACAGAGTTTACTCCTTTTACTTCCTTTCACAGGAGGCGAGAGGAAAGTTCAAAGAGGTAATGTCCATATAGACCAAAATGTAATCATGGTAGTCAGACAATTTAAAAAAAACCTGTAACTGGGCCTTATACATATAACCTAAAGACACATAGAATGTTTAAGAACATGTTACTTTAAGGAATGTCAACATCTGAATTGATTATCTCAGAAAATGCAAGGGAATGAACTTACTTACAAAATTTGATTCTCTGTCTTTGAAGAAAGAAAGAAGATTACATAAAACCTTCTTCTTTCCTCCCCACTCAATAATAAATATAAAGAGAGTTGTTTTGACATATTGCAATGAAGGAAATATTCTAGTCTTGATCTTCAAACATTCAATCAGTAGTTTTCGTATTTCATTCCTCACTGAGGCTTCCATCTTCTACCTCGTCAGCTGTCCAACAACTTTCAAGAGTGTTTTATTTTCCTGCTTTAATTGCTCATTTTCATCTTCTATATCATCTAGGTCCTTCAGGAAAAAAACAGAGCAAAGAAAGCAAGATACACAGTTATTCTTTAATATAATAACTTGGATTATAACACATTCACGTATAAAAATAAAGAACAGGAGGCTACATATTCAGAAGGCTGAAAAAACAGGCTTGAAGTACACAATATTCAGCAGATTTTGAATCTGCTTTCTATAAAGCAGAATTTGTCATTTGTTTAGCCCCATGCACAGGTTTAGGTTCTGACTGCACAAGGGAGTAAAGAGTAAAATTTCCCTCCTTATGCTTAGTGCTTCTGACAAAGCTTGTCTCCCTGCCTATAATTAATGAAAGTAGGGACTGGGAACACATGGTCCTCCAATACTGTTGTAATGCAGCTCCCAGCAGACCCCACCAGAATCACTTATGGTCAAGGATGACGAGAACTGGAGTTCAGAAACATTGGAGGGGGTCATATGTTCCCCATCTCTGAGGTAAAACAAAACTAGGTATGCCACTGTCTGCTAAATATTTACAGAATCTCTACTTTGACTCTTAATGGGCCTGGGAAGGTAGTATCATAACACACAATGGACATAAAAAACTACATCCAATTGTTAGTCTCAACTAAACAAAACCCATTGAATCACTGGAACTCACTTAAGTACTGACTCGCAAAACTTCTGTTGATTCATTGTGACCTACTCTAGTTGAGCTTTGCAACTGAATTATGACCTGAGGTGCCACAGAATGCATACTCTGAAGTTCATCTTAAATTATTGATATGAGACTGTAGCCTAGTTATGGAGGAAAATTATTGTATTTTTTTTATTGGTGCAGGCTGAGCTATTGCTGAATAACTGCTCTGCAGACAAGATTAAAGTCCCCATAATATGAAATGCAGGGTGTGTTTGAGCTTACTTTAAGAATAGGGGTGCAATAACCGCATCTTTATGTAAAAGGTAGATAGTATTTTATTTGCCTACAGCCTGCTTTTTACAAGGAATCTAGGGTGTGTAGTATGGAAAAAAGGGAAGCCTGGGCATGTACCTGGAATTTTATTAAAGGTTGTGACTATTGTGTCTGCCACAGCTGACAAAGCAAGCTCCTTTTCAGCTTTAAAAAGTGCACATCCCATCAGTTGTGGAAGCTCTCTCAGAAAAGAAAGGAAAGGAAAGGGAAAAGAAAATACCAGCTGTGCACATTCCTCTCTTACAGCCATACAATAGTTCTTGGATAACATCCATTAATTTAGAATAGGAAGGGAGACTAGAGTCAGACACAGAAGGTTACTGTCCCATCAAAACACTATGAGTAAAATGAGTTTTAATATTAGTCAAGAAATTACTTTAAAGTGAAAGAAATCAAACACAAGAAACATGTTCCCACTTTCTTTTGACATTGTCATTCCAGTCACCTGTATTCTGGAGTCTGACTTTTATGCACAAACATAAATGAAAGACTTAATCAAAACAAAGTGTAGAAATTCTCAGTGGAAACCATGCTCAATTGCATGGCCTTCCCTTAAACAACACAGGCTTTAATTAGCATAACATTGTTTTATGATTGAAACAATAGGAGTGTTTTACATTTCAAAAGCACAGCAACCTTGCTGGGGTGGAAATGTGAGGTCAGCAACTATGTGCTATTTGGTTAAAGCAAACACTAAGTTCATGACATGTTTTTCTGATGTCACATGCATTAGGCTAAAAGAAAAGAGCAACTAGCTTTTCATTAAAAGATTCCTCCTACTTTGGTCTTACTAACTTGTATCAGTCATACAGTATCCAGATGTGTGCCAGAGATACAGCTCACAACAATTACTTTAAGGAATATGGAGAAAAATTCTTGAAATTGTGTCAAAAATATGAATAAAAACTTCATGGAATGTTTATGCAGCAGAAATATCATTCCAAAAATGACTAGAAGTATGAGCTACTTGGACATAATCCAACCACAACAACTGCCTGGAATTTAAATACTGAAACACATCAAAAGGAAGCAAAGTAGTCAGTCATATATTGGGTTTATTTCCCACTAAAATGAGATTCTTTATCAAAACTGCAAGTCTATTTAAGAATTAATGCCGACTATTCAAAGGAAAAACAGTGCAATATAAGTTCCAGATTCAAATGACAAAAACATCAGTTTTGTAGTGGAATGATTCCCAGTGATCAGAAGCCACTGAACAAAAATGTTACATTCTCACAAAACATCCAGAATGGTGCTGCCGGAAGCCTAATCTATTAGTTGGTTCCAATTGCTTGGTTTCTTTTTTCTTTTTATGATAAGTGAACTATTATGAAAATGTATAGCATATTTAATTATTATGAGAAATGTTGACTTTTTTAAAAATGATTTTTTCCCTAGCAAATGGAAGACTTAAAACCAAGTCATCCACTCATTTGCTTGTTCTAAAATAGGAAGACATTACATTTCAACTTTACTCAGGGCTGGTGTTTCAATTCATAATAATGTCAAAAGTCCAAATCATTCACTCACTAATAATTTTGCAGCAGATGCCGCTATCTTTCATTCACAAAGAGTACTGTATGTTCTCTGCCTAACCAAGGTTTCAAGACTTGTCTGAGGAGAAAAGGAGGAGGGGACATCAACTATACCATGTGAGGAAGAGGAAGAGTAGAACTAAATGTACATATAGAAAGAGGTGTCCAGAAATTTGAAATGAGCCCAGAGAGAGAATTCATGTTTGAACAATATTAATTAGCCTTCAAATCATACAGAACACAGAATGAATAAGTTCCACATTTTTATTTAATCATTATGAACTGTAAAACTGTTTACTTACCCGGTTTAGTAAATCAATTTCCTCCTTCAGTTTCCCAATCAGCTCCTCTTTGTCTTGTGCTATCCTCACAAGCCTTAGGTTTTCTTGTCTCTCTTTTGCTAGCTCCTTCAAATAACACCGTTTAATACTGTTATTTAAAACCAATAAGAATAACAAACACACAATTCACCTCAAGTAAAATTTAATGCATGGCAAGCCATACTAAGTGGCTAGATAGTTCAGTGAGCTACGCATCTGGCTGTGGAGTTCAATTCCCCATTCTGCATCCAAGAAGAACCAGCCGGTATGGCCTTGGGCAAGCTGGACAGTCAAAGGATTCCCCCATAAGAGGAAATGGTCAAGCACTTTTGAATATTCTTTACCTAGAAAACTCTAAAAAGGGTTGCCATAACTCAGAAGTGACTTGATGGCACATAATTATTAGTTTTAAGTCACACTAAATCAAATGTTATTTCCTTCAATGATATATATATATTTAACAGCATTGGAATTAAATTGAACAACAATGCACAATATGTGGGGCTGCCTAGAAAGACTATGCAGCAATTTCAGCTACTCCATGATTCTAACCATTGATTTTGATTTCTAAAATGTGGATCCTCAAGGACCATCTAGTTTTACATGATCATACTTACAATCTTTGCTGAAATCCCAACTAGATTTCCATTTCCTAAGGTAGTTGCTAGTCAGTGATTATGAGAGTTAGGGTCTTCTTAGTGCTAGTGCTTTGTTTATGGAATCCTCTGTCCCCATATAATTTTTTTAAGTGCTAGATAAAACATTGTTTATCTCAGTATTCAATACTGTTTAAACTGTTAAGCAATTAACTATTCAAACGTGTCACCATTCTTATATTTTGGTGGTCTTATATTTTATATATTTGGTATTGTTATGTTACAGAATGATCTTTACCTTTTCAAGATCTTCAATCTTCTTTTCCAAAGAATTATTTGGTACAATATTCCCAGAAGAATTTGTGTCCCTGTTGTATCTGTTATATCCTGTCCTGTCTGCTGGTCGTGAATATCGACTGGAAACATCTTCATCTGGCACGTTTGCTGCACTGTGCAAAAATGCAAGTTATAATTTAATATACATGACAAATAATAAGAAAGTATCAAAAAATTTTTTTGCATGCCCCCACTTCCTCAGTCACATTTACCATCTAAGCCAAACTACTTATAAACAGAGACTTGTATTGAAATAGTGAAACTGTCATAGGCTGGGATGCATACATAAAACCAAACAAAAATTAGAACTTATGTCTTAAAACATAATTCGATATTGCCTTTAGTAAAAACCAAGTTCCACTGTAATCAGTGAGACTTAGTCAGAGGTATGTGTACACAGGACTGCACCTAGCATGCAGTCATAACCAGCAAGGATGGCTGAAAGCCAACTGAGCTAATGTCATGTCAGCTGAATTTCTGTTGAATCCAAACCCCTCCGAGCTATACATACTGGACATTACTTAGGGCTAGTGTCACCCTGGTCTAAATCTGTGCTAGCATACTGACTGTCCTGGGTTGAACAAGATCTGAATCTAAAACAATTAATTTGCTCCCTTGTACCACCTTTTATTAGCCCCTTTGCCAGCTGACCTAAATCTAGTGCACAGGTCCTGCTGTCAGCAGATGGTTACGACCAGCTGGAACACGAGGATTCTGCCATCTCCATGCACCAACTTTATACGTTAACCTGCTATACCAAACAGAGCATTCTGATCTCAGATTTCAGCCTCCAAATGTTTATCATGTTGGAATAGGCTTTTAAGTGAAATGTTTGTGAAAAGGCATACAAATATGGGCCAGTTTTGATGGCAATTTTTTCTACCTTATCCCAGTTGCCCCTTTCAGATTCAACTCTGATCTCTTGTCATGCTGATAAAGGCAACATATTATCTAGTTTGGCTGAGTCTAAGTCTAGGAGTGCTATTCAATATTATGGTTATTGTTTACCTTCTCCCTGTCTCCTGCTCTTGCAAACGTGAGAGGAACAGCCCTAGTTTGCCTCACACCTAAGCTAACAGGTGCCTCTATTTGTCACCACCACATTCTTACTCCATATGCTCACTTCTTTGGATGGAGGCAGGTTCTCTTCCAAGCAAAGGCACACCTACCTTTCATGCACAAAGTCCAAAACCTGGGCCAGGTCCGACAGCCATGACTCAGACAGTTAGGCTGTCAGACTGGCCTGGGTTTTTTGTTTTGTCTTTCCATTTACTGCCATAACCATGTAACTGTTGTCTCTCTTCCACACATCACCCCCCCTCCCCCACAGTGTCTTTCTTTAACTGGAGGCCTTCTTTTTCAAACATCAGACTTCCAAAATGGCCAGTGTGCTACAAGGGCAGTCTACTCTCCACTTGAAGAAACACGCCAGGCTCCCTTTCTCCCTGCCTCACCTTGTCACTGTGTCTCTCTTGCCTTTGTCTGGCCCTGACCACAGCTCCTTCTTGTCTCCCTCACCTTGCTAGCACTGCTGCCTTGCCAGGGCCTCCCTTTCCTTCCCCTGTCATGTTCACTTGATGGCTGGCAAGCCTACTCTAACTCTGGCAACACGTCTTCTTCCTCTGCCACTCTGCTGAGCCAGACACTCTCTTTCCAGAGCACTTGCTGCTTAAATTCAGCATGTTTTAAAGAGGACATGATCCTCTACTTAAAAACATCAGCTGCTTCTGAAAAGAGGTTGCTGACTGGAAACATGAGAGTCTTGAGGCGCAGCAACGGAGACGAGAGGTAATGGTGCAAGGAGGGGAGGATGGGTGCAACACAGCTTCTCCAGTTGGAACAACAGGATAGCTACTGGGAGATGGCAAGAAAGGGAGGGGGAGGAGAAGAGGACAGCTTTCTTAACCAGAGGGGAGGCAAATAACTCACTACACTGCTGTGTGTGGCGTCCACCCTCATGCCCCTTTGCTTGACCTTCAAGCCTCAGAGCACACAAAGGCAAACACTCCCTTCTTTTACACTTGCTGCCACCAGGTGATCTCTAAATCACCATTACCTCAGAAAGATTCAGGTCCACACTTCAAGTTCTTTTAAATAAAACTTTGGTTTATTGATTACAGAGATTCATAAATATCTTCAGTAGCTAATCACATCTAAATTTCCCAAACTACACACTCTATTACTCTCTCTCTCTTTCTCTCTACACACTGACTCAATCTGCCTCCTGACTCTCTGACTCCGCCTCTTATAGCATCTCGCTCAGCTCCGCCTCACAGCAATATGAATATTCATACACCATTACATAATACAACAAGAACCATAGATCTAATAAATGGAGAGTGCTACACTGTGCTACCACCACATTCAGCCCCACCCAGTCCAGAGTGTGATGCCTCTGGAACAAATGGAAAACAAAGCCCAAATTGAAGACTATCTGGATGAATGGTCACCTTATATTCTGGGTTGACTGGACAACAAATCCCATTAACAACAAATGGTTCAATAAATAAAGACAGCAGATGGGAGTTGCAGACAGACATTTAGAAAAGTACATGTTTTTCACATTGCTGCCATAACAGAAAGGGGCTGCTGGGTTCATTTTAACGGCCCAGAAATTTTGCCAGATTCATGACAGGTGAAAGTTCAACAAATGCAACCTTACTGAGCAAATGAGTACAGAAGCATCAGCTATGGATGTTCTTGATTATTTGTGAGCTGTGCAACAGCGAGACTACAAATGAGTGCTTCTCTCATATTCAACAGAACTCCTGGCACTGTGCAATGAAATCATGTTGCAATTCTTTAAGTATTGGGACAGCATCACTGATATGGTACTTAATACCCAAAGTTATTGTAGCTGGGACACATCTACCTGAATTAAACTAGAGGAATTGTAAGAGGGGAAAATTCAGTAGGAAGCAGAACAAGGTATGGGTGGCTGGAAGTTTAAACAGGAGCACACCACATTGCAACATTTTGATTCCATATCCCACTTATTATTAAATTGATTTGTTTCACATGTCATGGCAGAGTTTCTCTCAAATCACGCTGCATGGTGGCATGCAAGTAAATGACATGCTCCAAGTTATACCCGTTTATCATCACAGTGAGGAAATTTTCTATTATTCCCACATGGGTATCAATGGCTCCACATACTGTCTGTCACCAACTACAAAGCTTCATCAATGGTTTGAAGTAGCATTTTTTTACTAAATAAAAAGGTCTTCACTTGTGGCCATCAAACTGTCCTACCTTCCAATAACAATGTATCTATAACAAGAACACTGTCCAATTCATGGTGAACTGCTACAATCAAATGACTTAACCAGTTTTGGAAGCCACAGCATGGCATGATTTTGGAAATATATATTTAAATGTATAAATTTATTTATAATTTATATTTATAATTTATAAATTTATAAATATATAAAAATAGCCCCATAAACAGGCTGAGCTGGAATCAACAGGCAAAATACTGCAATATGCTGGCTTTAAAAATCAAATCTATTTTCCAGGTCTCTCTGACTTGATAAATCAGGCACTAACCATCTTTATAGTCATTTCTTCAAGCATACCCATACTTATGTGTTTTTAGCCATAAAACACTTGAGAGCAAGAAGCCAAAAACTTATCGTAATTAGCTCTACATCAATGTTCTATGCTAATATTTGCCACCACACCAAAGAAGCTGTGGTACTTTGAAAATTAATTGGGACGCAGATTTATTGTGCATGATCTTTCATGGAGGAGAGCCCACTTTTTAGATGTATGAACTGTTAGCTTCAGTTGGCAGATGCACACATGGATACTGGTGGGGGGATGTAAACAGTGGGGCCAAAAGGCCACAAAATGCACTGAATAGCTGGTGGGTCTGTGACATTTCAATGCAGTGTCGAAGATAAAACAAGATAAGGATGGAGTGACTCATTCACAAAAGCAGTCCCCAGTAATAAACACATTCCCTCTCTCACTCCCTGCTATCTCCTTACGAGGCTAATTTAAAACCTGCAGTGAGAAAGTTCCTGTAAAATATGACCTGACTAGATTTAACATTTGTTGATAAATTGGCAGGTTTTGCACTGGAATCTCCCTCTGAGGTCATCTTGCGAAAGGAGATACCTGTGTTGCTTTTGGAGCAGGGGAATTTTAAAGCACCTCACAGACCAACAGTATGTTCTTTGTAGGACTAGTAGTACCCACTTCTCAGAAACCTATGAAATCGGTCTGAGTTAGATCAGGAATACAGCATGCAGAAAAGATTCAACACCTTTCTATCCCCCAGCAATGCTGCTCTGATGCACTCCAGGCAAAGCAAGCTGTTGTGGCTTTTGCAAACAAACAAAAACACTTTTGCTGCTTTGGTTGACTTTGTTCCTCAGACTAATCTTTCATTGGTTTCTTATGCCAAATTCATTTTTGATTTATTCCCCCTTGATGTGTCTCTCCTATGTACATTGCAAAAGCACGTATTTAGTTTATCTTATGATAATGGATAAGCAGATGAGTAAAGCATTACTGATATTTTTAGCTTCCATATAATGCTGCCAGAGTAGATATGACATCAGAATATGGTATCTACTGTAGGTTTCCTGCACAGGCCAGTTCCAGAATTTATTTATTTATTTTATACTGAAAGAAAGCCTTAGATAGTACCTGACATGGCATAATCAACTTGCAGCCATCCATGGACTGCAGTATAACAGAGATTCTTTCAACACATAATGACACAACTGTAAGGAATTCTCCAGCTTAATACTATTACCATATTTGGCACTGTGTAATCTAGAATGACTTTTTAAAAAACTATCTAAAACAGGATATACATGTTGCAACAAACACAACGTTTGCAATTTAACCACTGAAAACCTGTTCCACTATAACTGTGCAAACTGTTAAAGATCCAGTGAATTGTTATGTGTGCTTCACACAGCTAAACTATTTGACTAAAAAGAAAGTATTTTTGTTCCCTGTCCCCCAAGAAATAACCGCAAAAATGTCCTGCCCCTCCTCTGTATGACAACCTTCCAAATAATTGAGAAGTGCTATCATATCATCCCTCAGTCTTCTTTTCTCAAGGCTAAACATGCCCAATTCTTGCAGCCTTTCCTCATAA